AAAATTCAAATGAAGCCATTACTGTACGAAGAAAATAGAAAATACTCCTTTACAACCGGTACATTTTCATTAAACTAGGTCCTATTTATTATTAATTATTATTAATATTGCCAATTGAAGGAGTACAAGCAACCCATGATTGAAACTACACCTATTCGATCACAGTAGGCTGTATGTAGATAGATAAGAAATATATGTCATTGACTACGGACTTGAAGCTGGAGCTCGGTGGATCTGGCCAACTGCAAGCATACGTGGATGCTGACTGGGCCGGAGATCATCAAGACCGCAAATCAAACTCGGGCTTTGTTTTCCATCTGTGCGAGCCGATTTCCTGGGAAGCAACAGTGTGAGACCCTTTCGTCTACCGAGGCGGAATACGTTGCCGAGGCCTGCCGGGAGTTGCTCTGGTTGCAGAAGCTAATGAAGGATGTTGGTGAGAAAGCTGGCGGGCCGATCGTTGTCCGCGAAGATAATCAGATCTGCATAGGAGGAAGTCGAAGAATCAAGCACATCGACCCGCGGTTCAACTTCATCCGAGACTTGCTAAGCAACAACGTAATCCAGGGTTGTATATTGCCCTACCGAGTCTATGATCGCCGACGCCTTGACCAAGCCGCTGGCGAGAGTGAAGCTAGAGACATACCGGAAGGAGATGGGATTTCAATCGATACAGCTTGAGGAGGAGTGAAGGTGGACAAGCAACCCATGATTGAAGTTACTCCTATCATTCGATCACAGTAAGCTGTATGTAGATAGATAAGGAATGTCATAATTTTTCTCACTCTTGAACAGATCGGTTCGTTTTACTGCCCGCTAATAGCTGCCTGCTAATACCAATAACACCCACCAAACAGCTTGGCTTTGCTGATTTCGACACTTGGTTGAGAAAGTGGACTATCAGCAGCACGGCACTATTTGAAATGCTGCTGAGTCAGTCCTTCTAAAGAGACTGAATTCAGCCTATTTAAGTCCAGCGTTGCCAGATATACCGATTTATCGCTATTTAAACCGATTTCCAAACTACAGGGTGCGTGACGAATTTTTGCAGTAAATTTCAAATAGTAATTTCTCATGCTTGTGCATCATGATTTAGATATATTTGGCAGCACTGGATAGCTTATACTGTTAGGTGTAAGATTTAAACAAACAATGTTGAGTAAACGTAAAGATGTCGAAACAAGAGAGGAATCTGTCAGCCGTTGTCGCTTTGTTGCGCGCCGGAGTATGCATGAAAGAAATAATTCGGTCGGTAAATGTGTCTGAAAGAACAGTGTATAATATTAAAAAAGGCTTGGAAAAGTGATAAGACGGAGCACCTGCTCATACTGCTAATAAAGCACAGAAATGGCTTACGGAAAATATTTCGTAAATTTGGGAGGAAGGAATTTGGCCCCCAAGCAGTCCCGATATCAATCCGTTGGATTATTTTGTATAGGGCGTCGTCCAATGGGATACCAATAGAACCCCTCACACCACACTTAAGTCGCTAAAAGCTAAAATCAAGGCAGTGATGACATCTATGGATCGAAACATTTTAAAACGTGCATACTGCAGTTTCCGGAAGCGTCTAACTACAGTCGTCGAAAGGGAAGGCAATTTTTTTGAATAAATTTACTTACAACTTCCATATGTTGCGAAAGAAAATAAATCGCACAAAATTCATTGCTAGAATAACTAACTGGTGTATTTTTTCTCAAATATGCCATTTACTGCAAAAATTCGTCACGCACCCTGTAGATACCGATATACAGATAAGTTTCCTCAGAATACTGATTTTTAAGATTTTATACCGATTTATACCGTTTTTTTTTAAATAATCAAAATTATTATTGCCTGTCCGCGCTCGAATTTCGGAGATTTTTTTGTGTATCTTTTTGAATACCTCATATTTTTTGAGCCTTCAAAATTCTAAACAATCATCTCTAAAGATGATTTATGCTTGAAACTCTTTCGACTAATGTTTGCATTTCCTCACCGTTTTTGGCTACCCATCAACCGAGAAATAGTCGAGATGGCTCTTTCCGGTAATTCCTAGCGAATCGAGAAATATTTTTTAAACATTAACTTCCTGAAGTTTCATCCAACTTTCCCTGGAGTTTTGTTCCACCTTACCTTGGAAGCTTCTTCACCCTTCGCTCGAATGATTCGTTCATCTTTTCCCGTCAGTTTTTTCAACTTTTCTGGAACTTCAAGGATGCTATCAGATTTTTATAGCATTTAAGAACTTCTGAAACTTCAGGAAAGTCCAGACTTTTGTGTAAGTTTCGCTAAATTAAAGACATAAATTTCTGTTAAAATTCGAAAACCCGGGAATTTCAGAAAAGTCCAGCGAACTCCACTGAACTTAAGGAAACAACATAAATATTTTGGAAACTTCACAAGTCCAAAGAACTTCAGGGAAAATCAATGGTTTTCAGGAACTTTAGTGAAGCTCAGAGAACATCAGGACAGATCAATTAATCAATTAAATTGCTGAAATTAGAAAGGAGTTCCGAGAACTTCAGCAATGTCCTGAGGAGCTCATGCAAATTTAGGAAACGTAATGGAAGTTACATGAACATTAGAACATAGTAAACTTTGCGCAGTGGCGATATCGTAACCAATGAGGTACAACCGAGGTGCGATTATTGCTAGTTGAAAACTAATTAGAACATAGTGAGAGCATTTTATGGGAATGCTTTTTAATGCCAACGTCGATAGTTTATAAAAAATGAAAAAAAAATGAGAAGATCAGAGAACATCAATGCTGATGTTATAATAAATTCAAGAAAATTGTGAGAGCACTTACGAGATTTCGTAATCTTCAAGAAAGTCCAGAGACCTTCAAAGATGATTAGAGATATTCCGGTAGTCTTATTATAAACAGGGAAGCTCCGAGCACTTCGAGGATGATCAGAGAACTCCTAAACAGCCCCTTATTTCAGGAAAATAACATGAACTTTTAGGAATTTCGAAGAATTATGGAATATTCCTAAGTGCATTTCAGAAATGTTCCGAAATCTTCAGGGTTATTGCGGAGTCTTCAGGGATGTTTTATGAATATCAGGAAAATTTTCTGGATCTTTAGAACATCCCCCAGGAATCTATTTCTTCCGGAATTATGTCCTTGTTTCTGTCGACTGTTGCGTAAGCGCACTGGCTTCCGACTTTCTTCAGATGTTTCTTCCAATCTACCTTAGGAAGTTTCTGCCAGCGTCTTCAGGAAGTTTCTTCGTCTTCTCCAGGAAGTTCAATTAATTCTCCCAGAAATTTCATTCGTCTTCTTCTGGAAGTTTGACCATAAGCCAAAGGTTTTTTTGTTCGACTTGTATTGGAAGGTTTTCCGAACTTCTTCTGGCTTTCCCTGGAAATGGCTACTTCTGGTTTCCGAAATTTTTCTGGCTTCCTTTAGATGTGACATCATATTTTTTTTCCGATAGTTTATTTATAAAATTAGTTAGATAGTAAATACCGATAAATACCGATTTTTTAATACCTTTGATACCGATAAGCTTTAGAGCAATCTGGCAACGCTGCTTTGGTGTTCTAATGTGTCAAATTCACGATTCAGCGATGTTGGATTTTTGCGAGGGGGGCGACACATCTCAATCTCAAGTTTAGATGCTCAACAAATCTCACACTAGCGAATCAATCTTCGAAAAATCTTCTTTCATTTGTCGCATCTACTTGCATCGCGCATCATCTTTTTGCAGAAAATCTTCAGAATCGTCATCAATCTTCTTTCTATCTACTCAGCGTGTGCGCAGCTAGCCACAGCAAAACATATTTTTTCCTGCATCGTAGATAGAGTCGTCCTCCTCGGATTTTTGTATGGAGGAGCGACCGAGTTGGTTAACAATTTGATCTAAAACCGCAATCCCCTCCCTACTCCCGCGATCTCCGCGCCCATATAGTGACAAAGCTGTATCCAAATGTTATACCCACCAAAAAGCTGAACAATTAGTTGGCAAATCTCGCGCAACACGAGAAAAGGGCCTATCATTGTTGATCAATTCTCTTCATCAAAGTTCTCTTTCGCGAATAATCCGGCTGCAAATGAATTTCCCATTGAGTAGGGTAGATGAACCAGTTATGGCTATAGGTTCCTATTATGGTGTGTTCCAATAATAGCCTATGGGAATTCCATAGGCCATAACTGGAACACATCATCAAAGGAACGTATGGCCATAACTGGTACATCTACCCTATGTCGTTTCAGGCGCAAGATAACATCATATTCTGTCGAACTGTGCTGCGAGCTTAGAGAGAAATTCGACAGTGATCGATTCTCTTCGTCGATTTTCTCTTTTGTTAATAACTCGCTATAATTACCGTTTCTCGGTGCGTTTACAGTTGCTTTTGATAGCTAATACAACCTGTTACAACTCTGCATTAAACAAATTTGCTCACTGTCGAATTCGTTTATGTTGCCGTGGTAAACCTAAGAGGAAGAGGAGGCAATAGGGGGACTTTTATGAACTAATTTGCTGTCCAACGCGAACCAGCGCCTGATTGGTCGGGCGAACGTATAGAAACGCTCGAATTTTTACAACAGGGAATCTGTTTTCTTGTTTGTTGACAGTCGACTGCGTCGCCCCCCATAATGAGAGAAGAAGAACACGTCACAGACAAAAAGAAGCCAGTTGTCTCCTCTTTATATAGACATAGAGCATTAACGTAACAATTCAATCAATTCTAGTATATTTACGACAGTATATGTAAATGTAACGCGTGATAATCTGACTTGTCTTGTGTTTAACTATCTAACGTTGGTGAACAATTTTTGAAAACGAGGACATGGAACAGTAAAGGTTGACAACCACTGCTGCAAATGGCAATATATTCCCGAATCTTCGAACCAAACAAAGCATGTTAGCAAATAAAGACAGCAAAATTCAAATACAAAGAAGAACAACAAGAACAAAACTGCCAACAAACGAAAACCTACGAAACCAATAGACTACAAACAGAAAAGGATAATGTGACTACAGTAAATAAAAACGACAATAATCCATAAGTTCTTTTTCATATAAATGTGCATTTGCTTCACTTTTTTTACAGGTTCCTCTCGTTATCAACTAGTGATAATATGTTTACCATTTAATCGTAAAACCTAATACTACCAACTATCAAATAGTTTCCTTAACGAATCTTTTTTTTTTTCACGTTTTTCTACATTTTACCGTTCGAACTTACTTAAGACGGTTTCAAATTTTCCATATGCATAGAGAACACTTTCGCGCATTTTTTGTTCCACCTAATAGAGCTCAATTTTACGTCATCAATTCCTTATAAAAATCTTTCTCACATTCGCATTCAACGGGGTTTAGGATCCAACAAACACACCATCCGTCGGCTTAGTCAATATGCGCTGTTATAGGTGCTGTTACGATTATTTAGGTTTTAGGATATTTAGATATTGTTTTAACTAAATGTTTCAAGCCACGCGTCACTCAGTAGACCAATCTACAATGTCTATTTGTTTCATTGTGTGTTGTGTAAGCTCAAACTAATCTCCGAATAAATTAGTTCGTTTCATTCCCGCCCTATTCGCATGCATCGTTTCCCTTTTATAGTTTACTATATCAAATATGTTTAAGGTTGGTATACACCACTGCTACTGTGTTTACTCTCTCAGTTCATTACCGTATTTCTTTAGCGTTATTTTTCATTATAACTTTCCTCCAACTCTATCATTTGATTGGTAGCCTTTAAACCTAAGAGTTCTAGTTTCTCATCAGACGAGAGAAGCGCATATTTAAGAGAACAGTGTTTATAAACTTAACCATGCCGTCGGGTGCCGTCATTCATATTTCATCGATTACTTTGCTTCGATTGCGACCATAAACCAGTCGAGGCACCCCGGCACTACCATAATTATTATTGTTAATTTAAAGGTAAAATAGATAAAGAATAGCAATAAACGTAATCGGTGTGGCGGAAAATAATGTTTATAAGTCCTAACCAAAGCTTTGATAACAAGTAGTTTGATTGGAAACGTATTGTATTTTGTGTGTAGTTTCAATGAACCAGCTGTTTTCACTAAAGCGACGCAGTTACAGTTAGATACTTACACAGCTAATTAAGATGGTTTGTGTTGTTTCTCTTTTAAAGCAGACATCGTTCGACTTTCAACACCAGGTTTCTAGATATTCGGTTTATAGTTAAGTCATTCCGCGTACGGAACCGGCACCGGATTGGATCATTTTGATTCACAACTGGGGCTCTTGAGTATGTCAAATAAGCACATACACATAAACTCTTATTTCCCGCGAAGGTTCAAGGGTTCGTTCATGAAGTTTCAATTTAAATTCAACGTTTACCCTCAAACTGTCGGGGGAATCGAACCCGCAACCTCAGACGTGGTTAACAGGAAGTTTACCGTCTTGGGTGCTGTATTCATGGAACGATATTATGATACCGGATAGTGCATGTTTTTACTTGACCCACTGAAGTTTACGAATCTCACTAAAAATCAAGTCAAACAGGATCAGGACGAAATAGGATCCTTGGTCCGGGTTATTATCGATTACATCCACGTGTGCAATAAACCGCCCAGTAGGTTTCCAACTCACACATACACACTTGATTTTGGGAAATCCGTACAACAGTTGTTAACACTTCCCAATCATCGGTTCTCCTTACCGACTGTGGTCGTCGCAGTACCATTTCCATTACTGCTAGCTTTCTGCTGTTTTTGCTTCCCTACCGTTTCTACACTTCCGTCCGTAGCGCCGGAAGAAGTCGCAGTACTACTACTGCTGCCACTGCTACCGTTATTACTGTTAGCACCGTTGCGGGCCAGCGAATCTGCGCCGCCACTACTCTTTGTCGCGTCGCGTTCTTTGTGTTCATTCTTACCGCTAGTGTTGCAACTACTACTACTACTACTACTACTACTACTATTACTGTTATTACTACTATTATTACTATTACTGTTATTACCTGAAGAAGCAGTTTGCGAAACAGTTACGGCTGGTGGCGTTCCGACGGAACCGGGTGCCGCAGGACTTCCACTGCCGCCTCCATTGAGTGGAGATTTCTTGTCACCACCGACCCCTTCCGACTCGGGCGCAGGTGGCCCTCCGGTCGAGGCGGATTCGCTTCTTTTGTCTTCTTTGATTGCTTCCCCGGCTGGTTCATCAGATGCCGGTACCGCAACGGGTCCATTGCTATCCAGTTCAGATTTTCCCGTCGGCGCTGCTGCCGTCGGTGATGTCCGTTCTTCCATCGCTGCTGCAGCCGTAACCGCCGAAGCGGTCAGATCGGATGTGGGCATCTTGCCTTTGATTAGATTGGAACTATCTAGCGGTTGCTGTTGTTGTAGGGAAGGAGACCCGGACACCGCGGCACCAGCTTTGGTCAAGGCCGAAGGTGGCGCCGAGGCTGAATGTGGGGAGTCCTGCTGACGGTGATGGGGATGGGGATGATGATTGTTGTTAATACTAGCGATGTTTGTACTATTTACAGACGACAACGGTGGACCACCAGGGGCGACGGAAGGAACTGATGCAGAAGGAACGGAACTGCTGTTGTTGGATGTAGTCGTTGCTGTTGGTGGAGTCGCCGTCCTGGCGCTGTTGACCGACGACATCAGGTTACTGCTTACTTTGCTACTGAGCGCAAGTGGATTGCCGGAATTGTGGTTTGGAATCGATGCTGATGAGTAGAAGGGATGGGAATGAGAATGATGGGGAGGAAGGCCAGCAGTGCTGCTGATAGGAGAAAGAACTGATGGTCCACTCTGATGAGATTTAGTCGATAGGGACAGTGGACCCGAATTATGTTGTTGCGATGCGGATGAAATTGTCGGTTGTCCAGCTGATAGATTGAGCGATGCGTGAGCCGGTGGAGGAATGTGTCCTAGGCTTAGGTTTTGTGCTCCCGGTAGGCCCGAGTGGGACATATTCAGACTGCTCATGTGATAGCTGGAACTCATTGACGAAGGTGGCAAACTGTGACTGTAGACCGCCAAGCTAGTCGGGATAGATGGGTGCCCTCCAAGACTGGTAGGTGGTGGATGTGACAGATTTAATGACGACGATGGTGGCTGTTGTGGCACTTGTGGTAGACCTAGCATCCCTAGACTCAAAGAAGGATGCAGTGGATGGTGTGGCGATGTAAGGCCCGGAGGTCTCATTGGGAGTCCCAAGGGCGAGGGAATACCCATCGGGAAGAATGGCCTCGCCAAAGAATGGTGCATCATATGCTGGGAAGCTGCCATCATCCTTTCTCGTTCCCTTTCACGCTCTCGCTCACGTTCTCTCCTCTCTCTTTCTTCCTTTTCTCTCATCTCCCTTTCGCGTTGTTCTTTTTCACGTTGCTCCTTCTCTCTTCTTTCTCGTTCCTCTTTCTCCCGTTGCTCTTTTTCTCTCTGTTCCCTCTCCCTCTGTTCCCGTAGCTCCTTCTCCCTCTCCATTGCTTCTCGCGCTTCTCTGGCACGTTCTTCTTCCCTCATCCTACGACGTTCCTCGTCCATTTTCATCTGTTCGTGGATGCTCTGAGCTCCCATGCCCATACCGGGTATCATCCCTGCATACATATTGGGTCCGTACGGGAGAGACGAGTACAGAGGATGTGCAGCGGCGGCGGCTGCTGCTGCCGCGGCTGAGTGGTGATTGGCTGCCCTTAGCATTTGGAAACGGGGATCCATGTAGATGGCAGGATCGTGATACAGGGCAGGGTTGAACAGGTTGCCTGTAATCAGCATTGCTTTCAGTGCATTTGATTGAGTGGTAGAATTATTTCTATACCAACCTGGTGGCATGCCGGGGATCGACCCGAAACCTGCGTAGGCGTCCATCGGGAATGACCCAGCCGGATGGGTTAGCCGTTCGTCTGGCCTGTACGGTTGGAACCCACTGCGCGCGAGCAGTTCCGTTTGCATTGCACTCGAGCTGGCAGGGTTCATCCGTTGAATCTGTCGGGGAAGAAACGATAGAGTTAGTATTCATGGTTACATTAGATTTAATGCAGTATGTAAACATATAAGGGGACCATTTCTCGGATGATTGTTTTATGTATGCTGTGCACAAGTGATCCAGAAGGGTCTGAGTTAGGATTATTTATAAGCTTGGCTTTCTTTTATGGAAGTTCTGTTTTACTGTATGGGAACTGGGGGTAAGACGTCCGTCATAAAAATATTTTTATTGAATTACCGCATTTTGCCTAGCGTTCAGAATCATAAGGGCCTAACTGCGATGATCGATTCTCTCCATCGATTTTCTTTTCGCATAACCGCAGTTCATTGAACCAATTTCCCGAAATTATTACAATACAAGGTAGTGAGAGGTTGTATTAGCTTACAAATTGTTTATTGTTGTTTTACATCAACAGGCTGGATGAAGCCCCAATGATGTTAAACTTATCAAATATGGTAAAAAAATTACATTCAAGCATGGTCATAACATAAAAAAAACATTAAAAAACATATCTTGTAGTCGCTATATTCATAGTCTGGCGGATAGAATCTCGGGAACCAATTGAGCTGTCAAAGAGCGGAACCAATCGAGCAAATCACGACCAACAACAGAAAAGAGCACATCAGCTATGCTGCCGCTATTCGCATAAAAGTCCCATGCCCTATGGATTTCCTATCTACATAGGACTGTTATGCGAATAGCGGCAGTATGGCGATCAAAAGGTCGGAAACCCTTTTCTCGTGACTCAAGGTTCGCCTATGCAAACTAACACCATGGGTTGGGGAAAGTTAAGTTGACAGTACCTTTTCAATTGTTGGACTAAAATATATTGAATTGGTTCCGCTTTTTGATAGATCGTAATTCTATCCGCCAGACTATAAATATAGCGACTATAGTCAGTTACTCCTGCCGGCGAAAAACAGAAGAAAACTTTCGACGAAGCGCATCACGGGAGAGATGAAAGTCGAAAACAGATGCAACTCTGTTGAATGTTCTCCGCAGTTCGCAAATCGCACCGTACGCTCCATAATTTGTGCGACGTAGAGGCAAGGCAGTCTTAGCATAAGGTTATTACGAAGCGGTCGGGGTTGAACATTCAGGTCAATTTGCCTCAGGATAGCCTCGCAATCTGTCCTTCCTTGCAGGATATCGGCCACGGTTAGGGCTCTGCTTGTGTCTCTTCTCGTCCGGAGAAGTTCTAGGTCGATAAGTTGACAACGGCTTTCGTAACTGGGTAATCGAAACGGATCATTCCAAGGCAATCTACGCAACGCAAAACGAAGAAAGCGACGTTGAACAGATTCAATTCTCTCGGTACCGTTGTTGTAGTTTGGATTCCAAACCGCTGAATAATGCTCAAGCGTCGATTGAACAAGCTAACAATAGAGAGATTTTAGACAGGAGATATCGGTGAAGTTTTTAGCTATCCTAAACATGAACCCTAAAGTTTTTGACGCCTTATCAACAACATATGCAATGTGTTGCTTGAATGAAAGCTGCGAATCCAAGATCACACCCAAGTCTTTCAGCGGAGCATTTGGCTGGGTTCACTACCATTCTGTTTAACCTGCACCAACTAGCGAATACATTCAGTTGACGTTGAAGAAAGTGACAGTCAGCAATGGAGCATATTCGTAGGAAGATTTTGAGGTCATCTGCATATGATAACCGAAAAGCTTCGATGACCAGATGCACGTCGTTGAAGTACAGTATACAAATCAACGGTCCCAGGTGACTTCCCTGAGGTATACCTTGATGTGGCGAAGAAGCTAGCTAATCTGCAATCTCCTTTGGCAACTTTTTGTGTGCGACCTGTAAGATACGATCGATATCAACTCAGAAGGTTAGCAATCGTAATAGAATGGTTCAACTTGTCGAATGCTGCCAATAGGTCCGAATAAATAACGTCCGTTTGAACCCGATCCGACATGCTTTCGGTTATATACGATGTGATACACAGTAGATTGGTGGTTGTAGAGCGGCCGACAGTAAACCCATGTTGATCAGCACTCAAATATTGCTTGCAATGGGACAGCAACGGTTTCATAATCACTAGCTCGAATAGCTTCGAAACGGCACTTAACGATGTAATTCCTCGATAGTTATCCACAGCTCGTTACCTTCCTTTTTTGCGGACGGGAAACATGTGCGCATTTCCAGCAAGATGGAAATATGCCACCTGAGAGAGACATTCGGAACAGGCGAAGAAGCGGAATTAAGCAATATGTCTCTTCAAAAATACAGATGGAACTCCATCAGGTCCAGAGTTGAAGGATGACTTGAGCAGAGTCGCGGCCTTAGAAATCATTTCTGCATTAACATCAATTGCACCCAGCGTTTGATCGTTTACTGGAACGTTCCTGGCAGCCAGGTTAATATGGCCGTCAGTTAGTATTTCATTAGTGAATACACTGGCAAACTTTTCGGAAAAAGGTGGCATATATCCTGAACAGTGGCAGCAACTTCTTCGTTGAATTCCATAGACGATGGGAGGTCGGATTCCCTGCGTTGCTCGTTCACGTAGTTTCAAAAGGATTTCGGGTGTAGCTTAAGTTTGCGCTGGATGCCTCGTTGGAAACTTGAAAAGCATTCACGACTGACTCGCTGGTACATGTGATTCAGCCTCACATAATTTAGTTTCAGAGGAAGCGTGCGATACTTCGTAAATCTTCTCTTGACTGACTTCAACCTACGTAGCTCTCTCGTCTGCCAGAGAGGGTGAGACACTTTGTGGTGAGTTCTTTTCGGGACGTGTCTGTCAATGAAATATGCCAAGACATGTGAAAAGGTTTGCGCTGCAGCTTCAACGTCATCTGGATCAAGGATGTTCTCCCATACCAAGCTAGACAATACATCTATGATGCTACGGTGGTCAGCTTTACGGAAGACATAAGAAACCGTAGCAGGATAGTCGTCGAAAGCACGCACGAGTTTGTCCTCAACAGTGACAATTAGAGGAGGGTGATGTGGAACTAGCTTAGTTAGTGCACAAGGTGCCGAGGAAATTGATGGAGCCCTGTCCTGTGTGCTCACGAAGCAGAGGTCCTAACTACGATCATTTCCGTTAACTACATGATTAATTTAAGAAAGCGTCGCTGCGCTGTAGTTGTCGAGAAGGCTAATAGCTCCTGCGTGAAATGTAGAGCTATCAGGATCTGGGTACAGGAATCCGCTATGAGATGGACTCCACGAAACGCCTGGCAGATTGAAGTCACCATTCGAAGTCATTGATTCGCTATGAAAGTTTGACAGATAAAATGAGGGGTTCGTGGATTTTCCTATGTTTCGAGGGGTGCATCGATTAGCTTGGGACCGAAGATAGTACCAGAGCTGAGCCAAAAAGTTGAGCTCGTTTCTTCGGGACCTTCTGGTCTTAGAGTTACCTCTATGGTATCATTGTGCTTGCCACACAATATACTAATTCATGCATTGGTATTGGCATCGAAAGCTCTCAATTAATAACTGTGGAAGTGCATTTAGTAAGCGGCGCCGGTGGTGTAGTACGCGTGATTGCCTATCACTACAAAAGACCTGGCCACCGCGATTTTCTGAGGCATAAAATCTCTGATCACGCCCTCTTTCGGGAAGAAGTAAAGCCACCGACAAACCGACATGAATGACCATAGCAAAAACAATAAAATTTCTGACCAAAGCACACTACACTGAAGTCTTTTTTTTTTACACGGTACATATCCCCCGTGTAAAAGAAGACCTGAGTGTATTGACATTTGGCTCCGATTGGCGGGAAATATTTAGCTAAGCCATCAAAAAATCCTATGGTTTTGACAGTTCGGATCACTAGGGTGTCCATTCAAATCCGATTTTTCAATTCCCGGTTTTTTCCCGGTTATTTAATAATAATTCCAACTCAAACATCACCTCTACCTTAAACAAAAGGCGTTCAAAAATAACCCTTTGGAGATAATCATACCATTTTTGATCAGAATTGCTCTACAATATGTCTACTGTATAGATAAAAATATGAGATGAGATTTACATTAACATGTCGAAGATATAGATCTCCAAAATCTCATGGAATCATATATTCGTATAAAGTCAAAAAGTTTCACTGCACAAAATGAGCCTAAATCTTGTTTTAGTATGTCGGAAAAAGCATATATCAATACAATAGGCTTGAACAGGAGAAACGCAGTATTGAAAGTTCTTTAAATCTTCTTGGAGTTTAGATCTTGAAGCTCTATAAGTCAAATAACATTTTGTGGAATACCAAGTTGTGTTACCAAAATATTTATGATTCTTCAAATTGTCATGGCGTTATCTCTTTCAAAATTATGAATTGTTTTTAAAAATAACCTTTTTGGATTATCCAAATCATCCCGCATATTTGATATTGAAGTTCTGCAGACTCAACAAGGTATACAAAGATTTGACTTAATAATAGAATGGTTAAACTTTGGGAAGCCCCATAATATCATTTGGTTTGGTTTTCCAAAATGCCTAGAGTTCAGATCTTTATACATTTTTTTTTCATTATAGCCACACCAAAATAATTTTTTAAAGAATAACTCTGTAAGCTATCTGGGTAGGAATAATGGAACAATCACTGTTTGCCCCTTGCACGAGTAGAGCAAAATGTGCAATAATTTTGAAGATTTTTTGATACTTTACCATAGTGAAAGACATAATATGAAAGTTGTAAACAGATATGTAGATGAATGTGATGTAGAAATCATTGGTTTCAAGTAATGCAAGTTTTAAAGAATTCTTCAAGTCCCAATTATGGCCTACAAGACTATGATAAAACTAAAAAAATTACTTATGATGAATGTCTTTCCCGGTGCAATTTGAGTTTTCCCGCATTTTTCCCGGTTTTTTTTCGGCAAATCCGAATTCCCGGTTTTTCCCCGGATTTCCCGGTTGGATGGACACCCTGTGATCACTGTACATTGAAATCGGCCGTTTAAGATTTTCGGGCATAAGTCAGAATTAAGTGTCATGTCGGTTTGTCGGTGGTAAAGCCGTTGGTCCCCACTTCATGAGTTGATCGGTCGATAAGTAGGGTCCAGTTATGGAAGCTGCCTTCCTGGCGTCGCGTTGGTAGCATTGCACAGTGGTCCAGAGTGCAGATTTAGGTGGAATGATATGTTTTGAGCCTGAAATTGAAACTTTAGACTAAAAGTCTCTTCTACAAAGTTGTTCCTTATAGTTAGGCCCTCATTTTTGTGACAATGAATTCTAGGGTGGTTCCTATTATCATAAAAATCAAAAATCTAACTTTTTTGTTTGAATAAATTAAGGTATACATTTTTCGGCAAAGTTATAGCTGAGCTAATTTCAAGCAACTTTGTTGAAAATAACTTTTTTGTATCTCTTAAATTGGCCGATTTAGAGCTATTTTCTTGAATTGAGTTAGGGTGGCTCTTAAAAAAACAGTTTTTTTGCTCTAGTTTTCTTATTTCGAATTTATCAGCAAAGATGTCTTAGATCGTAAAAAGGCGCAAATTTTTGATGCACAAAGTTTGTCAATATCTTTCGCCGATCAAGAGTTATTGACGTTTTTATACTAAAAATATGCACTTTTCAAATGTTAATATCTCTGGTTGGGGCAAACAAAAAAAAAGTTTTTTTACGGCATTTGAAAGGACGTATGTTATTCTCAATAATATGACAAAATTTGAGGTATGTTATTTTTTAAACTCGTATAAAATCAATTTGAATTTGTTCATATTTTTTACTATATTTGGGTATATATTTTTTATTAGAATAGATACAGGCAACAAATGCAGGTATAAAACATTCGTCTTAAAGAGTTTTAAAAGTCTCTATAAGATGACTTTCATGATAAATTTCAAATAAAAAAGTTATTGGCAAAAGATGGATTTCATAGGACCACTCTAATGACAAATTTATATAAAATGTGCTAATACATTTGTTTCAATATTTGGACATTAAGTGTCTTCGAAGAAGTTTTTGTTCTTAAAAATTCCCTTCTTTTGGTGTTTGCAAACGTCAGGGTTGTCCTCAAATTAGGGAATTTTTAAAACTAACTTTTTTGTTTTACAAAATAAAAACATGTGTTGTTTAAAAACGTTGTAGCTAAGATAATTGCAAGCAACTTTGTCGAAGAAATTTTTTGTCTATCTCTTAACGTTCTTATTTTAGAGTAATTTTTCGGAGTTGACTTAGGGTGTTCCTGGAAAAATAGTTTTTTAGCAATAACTTTTTTATTTGAAATTTCTCATGATAGTTATCTTCTAGAGAATTTTAAAACTCTTTAAGACGAATGTTTTATAGCTGAATTTGTTGCCTGTATCTACTCTAATAAAACAGATATACCCAAATATAGTAAAAAATATGAATAAATTCAAATTCATTTTATACAAGTTTACAAAATAACATACCTCCAATTTGGTCATATTATTGAGAATAACATACGCCCTTTCAAATGCCGTAAAAAAACTTATTTTTTGTTTGCCCCAATCAGAGATATTAACATTTGAAAAGTGCATATTTTTAGTATAAAAACGTCAATAACTCTTGATCGGCAAAAGATATTGACAAACCTTGTGCAGCAAAAATTTGCGCCTTTTTAAGATCTAAAAGTTATCTAAAGAAAACTTCGCTGAGAAATTCTAAATAAGAAAACTAGAGCAAAAAAACTGTTTTTTTAGGAGCCACCCTAACTCAATTCAAGAAAATAGCTCTAAATCGGCCAATTTAAGAGATACAAAAAAGTTATTTTCAACAAAGTTGCTTGAAATTAGCTCAGCTATAACTTTGCTGAAGAATGTATTTATTCAAACAAAAAAGTTAGATTTTTGATTTTAATGATAATAGGAACCACCCTAGAATTCATTGTCATAAAAATGAGGGCATAACTATAAGAAACAACTTTGTAGAAGATACTTTTAGTCTAAAGTTTCAATTTCAGGCTCAAAACATATCATTCCAGCTAAATCTGCATTCTGGACCACTGTGCATTGGTGCTCAGCACGGAAAACAAATCAAGGAAAAAATTGCAAACAATGTAATACGTCAACACATGTCTTGACAAATAGCTGGCCAAATATTCATTTTGTCAAATCCATTCTAATAAAAATCGGCCCAGTGGTTCAAAAGTTATAAATTTTTGGACCACCCTAATATGGAAATGGTCACCCGAATAAAAAATATGGGTCTAATGTTTTGCGATAAGAACAAAACTACCAATTTTTACGAAATTCTAAGAACCACCATATCGTTTTGCTATGGAATGGCTGTTTATATGGATGATTGTCCACGTAGGGGGAAGAGGGGACTTTTTGCTCTTCTAGATCGCAAAGGTTTTTGAAGCTCAAAATACAGTCTGCAGTTGAGAAAAAAAACTGGAAACACTGCTTCTGGATCACTGCTGTACTGCAAACCAAATGAACAATACAAAAGCAAACAAACTGTCATACAACGTTGGAAATGTTCGAGAAATATCACTAAGTTCGCCAAGAGAGTCATTAGCAAGTTTTCGCGAACTTTTCGATCGCCTGAGGCCTCATAATGGCATTATGGAAGTCGAGCGAAGGGAATTCATGGTACCTACAAAATGTGGTCCCTTAACTATTCCTGAGCCAATGACGTTGAGAAACCCTTCCAATATGTTTACATACAGTTATAAGGATTGTGCTTACCTTTTCTGGCGGCTGCGGAGAGGAGCGCTTCTTCGGATCACCACCTCGGGCAGCGTCAGCGCTCCTCACACGGCTCTCCTGTAGGGAACCGCCTCGCGAGTCGTTCATATCTCGGGCATCGACCTGCCGGCGGTCCATCTGTGCAGCCGGATTGCCTCGACCGTCGGGAGCTGATCGATCTTGAACATTTCCACCTCCACCGCCTCCTGCCGTCCCACCGCCACCCGGTTCGTCGTCTTTGCCGTCGGCCTGTTTGGCCAGATTACGCAGCGCAGCCGCGAAGGAACCCCGACTGTTGCCACTGTTGGCCGCTGCCGAGGAGGCATTTTGACCTGCCGAATTCGGCGACGGCTGGACAACGCCCACCGGGGTACCGTGCGCTCCCGGTTGTCCCGATCCCCCCGAGGGCGGAAGATGATTCGAGCCTACAATGTGGTTGGAGTGCGGGGACACGGAAGACGGATGATGCAGCGGTAGCTGTGGCGAAGGAACTGGTGGCGCTGGGCTGGTGACTGGGCGTTTCTGCGCCAGCTTCGATGGAACTGTTGGGAACGGGAGGAAAAACAGTTGAGTTAATACAAATAGTAAGCGAGCTGATGGTGTGTAGGTTCATGTCAGAGATAGTAGCATTTCCATAATCGGCTATTGTAGATATTTGCGCAACTGTGGATCAACATTGTATCATCACTATTGCCCGACAATAGGGTCAGAACAAAGCGATCCAACATTCGAGTAGCATGACCAGCATGAATTATAGCACGAATCGATTTGTCAAAGCTCGTTTTGTTCTTTCGACTAAAGGATATCCCCTGTGTCACAACTTGATAGTACGGAATCGGTTTATTAGACATCACAAGGACATATACATCATCATTACATCCGATGTCATTTATCTGGATGTTGATCACGCAGCCGAATGTTGTTTTCATATTCGCCCATACCCACCAACTTTCCTGTTCAGTGTTGTTTCATTATTGGCTTGGTGGAAATTAATTCCCTGCCGTAATGAAGGTGTATTAACATCGGTTCGGTCGCAGTGTGTCGTTTTGTTTATCCAATGTGTGCTCATCTGGGGGCACCGTTGGTGACAACATTGTGGTTGGTAGTTTCAGCCGAAAGTCGATGATGGACGGACCACCACAGCGCGATGTTGGAACCTGCTAATGTGTTTAGGATATTCCTGCTGTGAATTCCGAATGTAAATATGGGAGGAATGAAGGCATTCGCTGCATATGGGAGTAATTTATACTTGGAAAGGTATGAATGTCAATGTGTAACGTTGACAATGTGGTTGAAAGGAAAATTTTCCCAATTAAGAGATGCAACCATACGGGTTTAAATCCTGCTGTTGCCCTTCTATTGCCGCAAAGATCGACCAAGCTAAATGCGACAAATTACTACATCTCATGAACGATTCCCCTAGTCACTAGTCTGTTAAAAATTAACGTTTGTTGTTGATGAGCATGTCGTAAAAAAGAGTCTCGCGTTCCACTCACAATATGATGGGCCACACGACGGAGGATGGGTGACTCACAGCAGTTGTGACAAGCTGCTAAATATCTGGTCGCGTTTCTATTAATAATAATTTTCTGTGTTGAACAAGCTGTTTTCCGCATCGGTTTTCATTTATTTTGTCGTCCGCTTCCAAGGCGGGTGCAATGGGGTGGAGCGTCGTCGTTGAAATAAATAATTTCCCACGTGATTTATGGACGACCAATAGAAGTGGCAACGAATTAGACGACACGGTCGCATATTTCTTGTTTGCTCAAAAAAAAAGTGAGTCTGTTTGGATAAACAGTCGCAGTAGAGTGCATGAAAGATGAGAAAGATGTGGAAAATGATCTCAGCTGTCATAAAGTGGGTACAGTGGTGTCTACCTACTTTCCTCTTTTGGTTCCTTTTCCAACTGTTTCGGGTCGACCCCTGTTCCTCCTTCTTTATTGTCTTTTGTTGAAGGTTATTTTGAGGATTAAAAATAAGCTTACTTTCGTGACTAATTGAGACAGTGGGGTGTAACATTTGGTATTTTTTTTTTCTTCAACGAAGCAGATGATCAAGTTTGTATGTGACGTCTAGGGTGGTCCTATTATTTCGTTATTTTTATCCTTAAAATAAGCCTTTCCATTTTTATTTTCTGTAGCCTTGATGGCCGCTAATTGCAGGTCAAATTGAATTTTGGAAGTAAAAGTGACACCTATGAAACTTAACTTATTTACTAGGAATATTTTGTAAATGTTTCTCAAACATAAGTTGTATGCCAATAATTGTTTAATGACACATTACTTGTGTAAATTATTTCCCTTGCTTTCAAGTTAGTCGTAGCCCGGGTACGTTTACAAAACTTTTCAAACACACGCAACAGCACTCAACTGGTAAGCATCTTCATCACAGATTCTTAATTCGTTTTAGTGCAGTCAAAACAATTAATTTCACCCTCGGAACTGCCGTATCGCGTCGTTGAATGAAGCAATGCAGATACCAAGACGAAGGCGACCTTACGGCGGCGGCTCGAGAAGTGAGAACGGAATTCGGCTTTGGAATGACGAACATTTCTAAGCACATACAGCTCGGCACCAAGTTTAGAGTGTGAGAGTAGCGTTAGTTGAAGAATTTCAAACATTCTTGGGCGCTCCGGAATGGGGCACTTCAAAGTGCTTAAATGCTGTTGTGAAGAAGAGTGCGCCAAAGTTGCTCTTGTCGAATATGGTCGAACAGCGGAATGGGGTCCAGAATGCCAGTTGGTAGGCACGATTGATTGCTCTTGAAAAATGTCTAACTACCTACTAGAGACTCTAGAGAAATAGCAAAGTGGAAAATGATACTCTGATTGTTCAACTTGTTTGCCGCCGTGCGAAGTCGAACGAAATTGGCCGGTTTGTAAATGGTCCATTATTACAGTATTCCGGGTGGGTGGGTAATTATCGAAATGATTGAATAAATCCGGTTAGAGTAAATATAACATAATCACGCCATCGTCGCTATTGGGAGGGTGGGTGTCATTACCATTCACTCGCAGCATGGTTGGTGGGTGGTTCAACAGAAAGGATTACTACAAAATGAGGTTACATACATCCGGCGATAGAAAAGCGGCTTTCATTAAATGGCTGCTCACTTTATCAGGCTGAATGGGTGTGCTTGTGTTTGTGGGAGTTATGGGATCAAACAGGTGGCATCGGCACAGGTAGTTGGGGGCAAACTTCTCAATTGAATAAATTTTCCACTCAACCGTTTAAAAACATATCAATCAACAGCCGATTGATCCGTCTTAATGGGGTGGAAAATGATACACAGGTTGAATATGGAATTAACGGCTGCTAATTAATTAATCGCAAGCATAACAACCGAGCTGGATGGTGTGGATTTCCGGCCGGTTTGGTACTTGAATAGCAAATAACTGCCTGCAGTGATTTGGGTAGTGTTTGCATCAAAGGTTTTGACTTTCGAATTTGAAGACGAAGTAGGTAAGGTATACGACAGCTTCGGCACCCATTGACTGTTTCGGGCAACCAAAATTTAAACGATAATTTCACTGTATTTTTCAACCGAAACACTTCGCTGAATGTATTCAAACGAGTCCATAGTCTTTCAGGTTCAAATTGTTTATATTTTTACGACTGAGCAAACGCATTTTTTTCTCTCACACTTAGCTCAGTGGGTCAAGGCGCGCAGCTACTTAGCAAGACCATGCTGGAGGTGGCTGGGTTCGATTCCCGATCCGGTCTAGGAATTTTTCGGGTTGTAAAATTTCTCGACTTCCCTGGGCATAGAGTATGATTCTAGATAGAACTGGAATTAGGGTGTAACAGTTTTTGTAAACAATGACTTCTCTCGATAATTTCTCGAAAGTCATGGCAAATCGACATCACCATCGAGTAGAGGAAGACTTCTCCTACCCGATGGATATGTTGGTTTGTGTAGGCGTGCCTTGAATTCCGAGAAATCAACAAGAGAAGTCATTGTTTACAAAGGCTGTTACGCTCTAATTCCAGCTCTAACTAGGATTGTACTTGCCACCAGTGATGGCATCTTCCTCACTCAAATGATTTTGTTTCGCTCTCAAGGGCTCCCAATATCACGCATGATATTGGAATAAAATATCAAGCATGATATTGTTTTTCCAGCTCCTTTGATATTGCGAGACTATTCATAACATGTAAAATTGCAGCCACGAGTTGAGTTACCACAAAAATGATTCCATTGCACATCGTTTTCTTAGAAAGAGAAAGCATAGTTTGCTATCTTTCTTTACGCTTCACAGATGGCAGATACGAAGTTACTGCTGCCAGCAGTGATAGAAGTTTCGTTTCGTGTTCGGATGTACAGCAAAAATCTTGAAGCTCAAACTCATCACAGTTTGGCGAGAATTGTAGCCGGGGAGTTTTGTTAGCATTATATCATAGCAACCGTATCACAGCTTGTAATATCATCGACTGTTGTTTACGTTTTGAGTTTTTGGTTTACGATACTCAAATGAGATTATGCACATTGGTGAGATTAGATCTTTTGATATTTTCACAACACTGCTTGCCACACAATTATACGAATGCACCAGGCATCGAAAGCTCTCAATTAATACCTGTGGAAGAGCATCTAGAACACTAAGTTGAGAGCACGCAATAAGCTAACATTGAACTTTATAGATCCAGAGTGTCAGTTCAGCCAGTTCACTCGGCTGTCGCCAGAAGCAGACCCCTCTCAATGTGTCTGTCTATCTGTCTGTCTACTCGGTAGTAACCATTGTGTGGTCTTCTTCATTGTTCTTCATCAGCAGTTCGTTTGGTCGATGCGTCGTCGACTTTAGAAAGCAAACGTTTAGTGATGAGTGTGTGAGTGCTGACCACATTTTGCGTCCATTGCTGCAATGGAAACGCTCTGACCCCCGTTGGCGAATCTGTCATACAATCAAAACATTGGAAGCGGCTCCCGTTCTGGTGAAGGAGGCTTATTTTTTTTTTGGTGAGAATATGCATATTTCCGATAAAATTTGAACAAGTTGTTTTAAATTCTGGACGAAAGAGTTATAAAACTTTAAGAAATTTTCAAGAATCTGGAGTCACATTCAGTTTTAACGGCTCATGGACTTTTATTATAATTTTAAAGACTTCATTCAAAGAGAGTTCTGAAGAAGAAAAATCTTTGAGAAAAACACCAGTTCAATTTGAGATTCAAAAGGAAATCCGCGGAAAATCAAAAGAAACTTGAATGCGAAATGATTCCAATGAAATTTTAAAGAAAATGTCAAGGGAATTACGAGAAGTATTCTAAGTATATTCTGGTAATATATTTTATTGAGAATTCAGAGAAACGTTCCAAGTGAATTTCTAGAATAATGCCATGAGAGTTTTGGGAGATTACAAAGTGAATGCTGAGGGGAAATCCAAGTGAATTTTCACATGAGAAATCTCCGTTGAATATGGAATGGACTATTCTGAGGTCTTCGGAACTACTTGAAAATATACCTTATTACGTTGGTTATCGTTTTAATTCTACTACTATTGTATCACTTTCACTAGTTCACTATTCACTATTTACTTTCACTATC